TGTATATATACTACATTTTGCTTACCCATTCATCTGTTTATAGATACTTGGGTTGTTTCTACTTTTTTGCTGTTGTGAATAATGTTACAGTGGTACAAAGGTATCTGTTTGAGTTCCTAATTTCAGTTCTTTTGGGTATATGCCTGGGAGTGGAATTGCTGGGTCATATGGTAGTTCTATGTTTAGCTTTTTGAGGAACCACTAATTTGTTTTCCACAGCAGTTATATCATTTTTTTCCCACCAACAGTGTATGAGAGTCTCGATTTTCCATATCTTCTCCAACGCTTGTTATTTTCTGTTTTTCACCCCTAATTATAGTTGGGTTTTCTGTTTTGTTCTATCAATCTATGTGCCTGTTTTTGTGTCAGTACCATACTGTTTTGATCACTACAGCTTTGTAATATAACTTGATGTCCAGAATTGTGATACCTCCAATTTTGATTTTCTTTTTCAAGACTGCTTCAGGTATTTGGGATCTTTTGCATTTCATACAAATTTTAGGATTGTTTGTTCTAGCTCTGTAAAAAATGCTGGTGGTATTTTGATAGGGATTGCATTAAATGTGTAGATTGCTTTAGGTAGTATAGGCATTTAAAAAATATTTGTTCTTCCAATCCAAGAGCATGAAATTTTTTAATTTCTTTGTGTCATCTTTAATTTCGTTTTTCAGTGTTTTATACTTTTCAGAGTACAGGTCTTTCACCTCTTATTTAAGTTTATTCCTAGGTATCTATGTTTTTGGTGCAGTTGTAAATGGGATTGATTCTTGATTTCGCTTTCTGATGCTTTCATAATTGGTGTATAGAAATGGAAGATATTTCTATACATTGATTTGTATACTGCAACTTTACTGAATTCACGTAGCAGTTCTAGAAATATTTTGGTGGAGTCTTTTGGGTTTTCTGGATAGAATATCATATCCACAAATAGTGAAAGTTTGACTTCTTCCTTGATAATTTGGATGCCTTTTATTTCTTTTTATTTTCTGATTGCTATGGCTAGGACTTCCACTACTATGTTAAATGTGAGAGTAGACATCCCTGTCATTTTCTTCACTGTAGAGGTAAAGCTCTCAGTTTTTCCCCATTGAAGATATTAGCTGTGGATTTTTCACATATGACCTTTATTATGTTGAGGGATGTTTCCTCTAACCCTACTTTGTTGAGGGTTTTTATTATGAATGGATGTTGTACTTTGCTAAATGCTTTTTCTGCATCTGTTGAGAGGATCATATGGTTCTTATACTTTCTTTTATTAATATGATGTATCACATTGATTGATTTGTGAATGTTGAATCACTCTTGCAGCCCAGGAATAAATCCCACTTGATTGTAGTGAATGGTTCTTTTAATGTGCTGTTGGATTTGATTTGCTAGTATTTTGTTGAGAATTTTCGCATCCATGTTCCTCAGGGATATTGGCCCATAGTTCTCTTTTTTAGTGGAGTCTTCATCTGGTTTTGGAATCAGGGTAATAATGATGGACCCATAGAATGAGTGGAAAATTTCCTTACATTTATATTTTTTGAAATAGTTTGAGAATAATAGGTATTAAGTCTTCCTTAACTGTTTGGTAGAATAGGACATCCCTATGAAGCCATCTGGTCCTGGACATTTGTTTGTTGGGAGGTTTTTGATTACTGATTCAATTTATTTCCTGGTTATTGGTCTGTTTAAGTTTTCTATTTATTCTTGTTTTAGTTTTGATAGTTCACATGTTTCTAGAAATTAATCCATTTCTTCCAGGTTGTCCAATTTGTTGCCATATATTTTTTCATGATATTCTTTTATAGTTATTTGTATTTCTGTGGTGTTGGTTGTTATTTGTCCTCTCCTATTTGTGATTTTATTCATTTGGATCCTTTCTATTTTTTTCTTTTGATAAGTCTTGCTAGGGATTTGTCTTAACTTTTTCCAGAGAACCAGCTCCTGGTTTCATTGATCTGTTCTATTATCTTTTTTGTTTCTATATCATTTATTTCTGTTCTAATTTTTATTATTTGCCTTCTTCTGCTGGCTTTAGGCTTTGTTTGTTGTTGTTTTTCAAGTTCTTTTAGGTATAATGTAAGTTGTTTATTTGACATTTTTCTCGATTCTTGATACAGGCCTGTATTGCTATATACTTATCTCTTATGATCTCTTTTGCTGCATCCCAAGTGGTTTTGGACCATAGTGTTTTCATTTTAATTTGTTTCCAGGCATATTTTTATTTCTTCTTTAATTTTCTTGTTGACCAATTCATTCGTTAGTAGCATTTTGTTTAACCTCCATGTATTTGTAGTCCTTCCAAATTTTTTCTTGTGGTTGGTTTTAAGTTTCACAGCATCGTGGTCAGAAAATATGCATGATATGGCATCAGTATTTTTGTACTTATTGAGGCCTGATGTGTGACCTAGTATATGGTATATTTTGGAGAACGTCCCATGTCCCATGTGCACTTGAAAAGAATATGTATCCTGCTGCTTTAGGATGAAATGTCCTGGATATATCTGTTAAGTCTGTCTGGTCCAGTGTGTCATTCATAGCCATTGTTTCCTTGTTGATTTTCTGCCAAGATAATCTGTCCATTTATATAGGTAAGGTTTTAAAATTCCTTACTATTATTGTATTACTTTTAATAAGTTCCCTTATGTTTGTTATTAATTTTATATATTTGTTTTCTATAAAGTTGGGGGCACAAATATTTATAATTGTTAGACCTTCTTATTGGATAGTTCCTTTTATTATAGTGCCCTTCTTCCTCTCATGTTACAGTCTTTGATTTAAAATCTAGTTTGTTTGAAATAGGTATTGTTACTTTCGCTGTCTTTTGACATCCACTGGCATGACAAATGTTTCTCCATCTCCTCACTTTCAGTCCAGAAGATTTTCCTGGGTTATGTAGATGGGCCTAGTGTAATCACATGGGCCCTTAAAAGTAGGAGTGAAGACAGAAGAGTCATTTTGAAGTTTGAGAGGGACTTTACCTACCATTGCTGGCTTTGATGATAGATGAAGTTGGGGGGGCGCAGTCATGAGCCAGGAAGTTTGAATGGCCTCTAGAAGCTAAGAACAACTCTTGGATGACAACAGCAAGGAAATTGGGACCTCAGTCTTTTTTTTTTTATTTTTAGTTTTTATAATTTTTTTGCATGTATTTATTTTTTGAGAGACATAGAGAGACAGCACAAGTTGGGGAGGGGCAGACAGAGAAGGAGACACAGAATCTGAAGCAGGCTCCAGGCTCTGAGCTTTCAGCACAGAGCCCGATGCAGGGCTTGAACTCAAGAGCTGTGAGATCATGAACTGAGCCAAAGTTGGACACTTAAACCACTGCACCACCCAGATGCTCCAGGGCCTCAGTCTCAAGGCTGTAAGGGATTGAATGTCAGCAACTTGAAAGAATAAAAAAACAGATTCTCTCCTAGAGCCTCCAGAAAGGAATTCAGCCCTGCCAACACCTTGATTTTGTCTTGATGAGGCTCTAGTGAGAAATGTAGCTGAGCCCACTATACTTCTGATATATGAACACTGTGATATTAGAAGTAGGTTTTATTTTAAGCCACTACACTTATGGCAATTTGTTATGGCAGGTATAGAAAACTAGTACTCTTTTTATGTCTACAGAATTTATAGACATGTCATTGTCTTTATTCTTGATATTGGCAAATTTTGTCTTCTCATGTTTTATCTTATTCAGATTGGCTAAGGTTTATCAGTCTTCTTGATTTTCTCTAAGAGCCAACTTTTTGTGGCATTGATTGTCTCTAATATTTTTCTATTTTCTATTTCAATTATTCCTGCTCCAGTCCTTATTCTTAATTTTCTTCTACTTATTTTGGGTTTTATTTGCTCTACTCATTAAAATATGTGCAGACATTTTAACATAAACTTCACAAAAGAAGATCTATGGATGGCAAATAGCTACATGAGAAAAAAGTTCATCATTAGTCATTAGAGAAATGCAACTTGAAGCTAAAATAAAGATCCTTCATACTCATTGGAATGTCTAAAATTAAAAAAGGCTGATCCAGTGTTGAAAATGTGAAGGAAATGGAATTCTCATATAATGTTGGTGGTGTAAAATGTTACAGCCATTTTGGAAAACAGTTTCATAGTTTCGTGAAACACAAACATCCTATAATATTAATCTATCATGTGATCAACTAGTCCATTCCTAGGTATTTTCCCAAGGGAACTGAAAACATATGTACATACAGATAATTATATATGAAAGTTAATAGCACATTCATTTGTAATAGTCAAATAATGGAAGCAATCCAAACATCCCATAAACAGTGAATAGATATGTACACTGTGGCATGGCCATGCTATAGCATACTACTAAATAATACAAAATAATGCGCTATTGAGCCACACACCAACCCTGAAGAATCTTAAAATAGTTCTGCTGAAATGGAAGCAATCAGACAAAAGAATGTATGCTGTATGATTACATTTATAGAAAATATAGAAAATGTAAACTAATCTATATTGAAAGAAAAGATGTATTCCTGGGCATAGAGTAGGTAACAGGGGGAGATAGAGGGGATACAAGAACGTGGACATTAGTAAAATGCTAGGGATAGTGAATATGTTCATTATCTTGATTATTGGTTATATGGGTACATATATTAGCCAAAATATAAATTGTACATTTTATTTATTTTTTTAATTTTTTTTTAACGTTTATTTATTTTTGGGACAGAGAGAGACAGAGCATGAATGGGGGAGGAGCAGAGAGGAAGACACAGAATCAGAAGCAGGCTCCAGGCTCTGAGCCATCAGCCCAGAGGCTGACACAGGGCTCGAACTCACGGACCGCGAGATCGTGACCTGAGCCGAAGTCGGACGACTAACCGACTGAGCCACCCAGGCGCCCCTAAATTGTACATTTTAAATATGTTTAGTTTGCAGAATATAAATTTTCTTCATTAAAGAAAATGATCAGAAGATAAAATCTTAGTGTGTTAGCATTTGAATTACATCTATGTTGATATGTCCACTTATTTGTTTTCCAGGGTGGATTGCTATTATGGGTGCCATCTGGTTGCTAATTTTAGCTGATATCCATGATTTTGAGATAATTCTACACCGAGTAGAATGGGCAACTCTTCTGTTCTTTGCAGCACTTTTTGTTCTAATGGAGGTAAGACTTTAGAATTCTTGCAAAGTAATCCTTTATCTGACTTTTATGTTTCATACTTTATTGTGCGAATGAAAAAAGCCTAAGTCTATAGTCTTTCCACTTATTTAACATGGGGGAAATGATGGAAGTTATAAATAGACTATTTTAAGTTAAACCAGGTTTTATTTCAGCCACCTAAATATTTTCTGATAAATTGTTTATTTGGTTGTTGTTTTTAAAAATTATCTTTGTGATTTATAAACTTGCTCTAATTTCATTTTCCATAAAGTAGAATTTGCTCTAAGTTGTGTTTACAGCTGAGTGACTTGTTACAGAAAATTGACAGGGTGATATTATCTTGATGATCTATTTCATTTTGTGTAATGTTTAACTAAATATTCTATGTTATCATGGAAAACACTACATAAAAAGAATGAATATTATTTTGGTAATAGTTGTTATGAAATGTATTCAAAAAATTATTCACATTATTATTCAATCTTGAGACTTGATTTATGAACTTGTGTCCTCCTCAAATACAAGGTTTGCTGAAATAGAAAAATACTACTCCCTAAAGGATATCTCAAGCACACCAAATATCTCACATTAATTAACTTACTGATGGTAGACCCATTTGGTTTTAATTATTCTGTGTAATAAAACTTTGATACTCCCCCCACCATTTGTCTTTAAGACAGGGCCTTTGAAGTTTTGTAATCTACATCTTTGCTCCTAATGGGTTGTGTAGATGTAATCAAGTGACTCAGTCCCTCCAAGTCTGTGGGGGGGTTGTGAATTATATTCTAAATCTTCAGTTTCACACTCAAAACATTCAGCTTTTTTTTTCAGGGTGTTCTTTCCACACTGAACACATAGAATATGGAGGGGAAAATTCTGGTTACTGTTTTCATGATTGGACTTTGAAAGTCTCTGCCTCAATTACATGTTTACTCCAGGTATAAATTGCTATCTCATCTGGGTTTTGGGCATATTTTTCCATATTTTATACTTCACTTTGTTGATGTAGTAAACAATGGAATTTTAAAAACAACTTTGTTGGGGTATAATTTACATATCATAATATTCACATGGTAAGTTTACAATTTAATGATTTTTAATAAGTTTAGAACATTTCCATCATCCAAAAAAGATCCCACATGTCCATTTACGATTAATTCTAGCTCTTGACTCCAGATTTAGGCAATCACTATTTTTTTCTGTCTATTGATTTGCCTTTCCTATACATTTCATCCAAAAGAATCATATAAAGGAAAAATCATAGTTTTTTTCTGTCTGCTTTCTTTAATTAGAATAATGATAATAATGTTTGTTCATCCATGTCTTTGTATGTATTTTAGCTCATTTGTTTTATTGCTGAATAGCATTCTACTTTGTGGATACCATTTGATGAATATTTGTATTCTTTCCAATTTTGAACATTATGAATATTACTATCATAAACATTTGTGTAAATTTGTGTGTAAACTTCATGTGGAATATATTTTCATGTCTTTGAGATATATGCTAGGTTTTATCATAAGTTTAGCTTCTTAAGAAACTGTAAAAATGCTTTTCACAGTGACTGTACCATTTTACATTCTCACTGGCAGTGTAATAGTATTCCAGTTTCTCTACAATCTCACTATCACACTTTGCCTTTCTTTTTTTTTAAATATATGAAATTTATTGTCAAAATGGTTTCCATACAACACCCAGTGTTCATCCCAAAAGATGCCCTCTTCAATGCCCATCACCTACCCTTCCCTCTCTCCCACCACCCCATCAACCCTCAGTTTGTTCTCAGTTTTTAAGAGTTTCTTATGCTTTGGCTCTGTCCCACTCTATCCTCATTTTTTTTTCCTTCCCCCCCCCCCATGGGTTCCTGTTAAGTTTCTCAGGATCCACATAAGAGTGAAAACATATGGTATCTGTCTTTCTCTGTATGAATTATTTCACTTAGCATCACACTCTCCAGTTCCATCCACATTGCTACAAAGGGCCATATTTCATTCTTTCTCACTGCCATGTAGTACTCCATTGTGTATATAAACCACAATTTCTTTATCCATTCATCAGTTGATGGACATTTAGGCTCTTTCCATAATTTGGCTATTGTTGAGAGTGCTGCTATAAACATTGTGGTACAAGTGCCCCTATGCATCAGTACTCCTGTATCCCTTGGGTAAATTCCTAGCAGTGCTACTGCTTGGTCATAGGGTAGGTCTATTTTTAATTTTTTGAGGAACCTCCACACTGTTTTCCAGAGCGGTTGCACCACTTTGCATTCCCACCAAGAGTGCAAGAGGGTTCCCGTTTCTCCACATCCTCGCCAGCATCTATAGTCTCCTGATTTGTTCATTTTGGCCACTCTGACTGGCGTGAGGTGATACCTGAGTGTGGTTTTGATTTGTATTTCCCTGATGAGGAGCGACGTTGAGCATCTTTTCATGTGCCTGTTGGCCATCTGGATGTCTTCTTTAGAGAAGTGTCTATTCATGTTTTCTGCCCATTTCTTCACTGGATTATTTGTTTTTTGGGTGTGGAGTTTGGTGAGCTCTTTATAGATTTTGGATACTAGCCCTTTGTCCGATATGTCATTTGTAAATATCTTTTCCCATTCCGTTGGTTGCCTTTAGTTTTGTTGATTGTTTCCTTTGCTGTGCAGAAGCTTTTTTACCTTCATGAGGTCCCAATAGTTCATTTTTGCTTTTAATTCCCTTGCCTTTGGGGATGTGTCGAGTAAGAAATGGCTGTGGCTGAGGTCAGAGAGGTCTTTTCCTGCTTTCTCCTCTACTGTTTTGATGTTTTCCTGTCTCACATTAAGGTCCTTTACCCATTTTGAGTTTATTTTTGTGAATGGTGTGAGAAAGTGGTCTAGTTTCAACCTTCTGCATGTTGCTGTCCAGTTCTCCCAGCACCATTTGTTAAAGAGACTGTCTTTTTTCCATTGGATATTCTTTCCTGCTTCGTCAAAGATTAGTTGGCCATACTTTTGTGGGTCCAAATCTGGGGTTTCTATTCTATTCCATTGGTCTATGTGTCTGTTTTTGTGCCAATACCACATTGTCTTGATGACTGCAGCTTTGTAGTAGAGTCTACAGTCTAGGATTGTGATGCTTCCTGCTTTGGTCTTCTTCAAAATTACTTTGGCTATTCAGGGCCTTTTGTGGTTCCATATGAATTTTAGGATTGCTTGTTCTAGCTTCAAGAAGAATGCTGGTGCAATTTTGATTGGGATTGAATTGTATGTGTAGATAGCTTTGGGTAGTATTGACATCTTAACAATATTTATTCTTCCAATCCATTAGCATGGGATGTTTTTTCATTTCTTTATGTCTTCTTCAATTTCCTTCATAAGCTTTCTATAGTTTTCAGCATACAGATTTTTTTACATCTTTGGTTAGGTTTATTCCGAGTTATTTTATGATTCTTGGTGCAATTGTAAATGGGATAAGTTTCTTTATTTGTCTTTCTGTTGCTTCATTATTAGTGTAGACGAATGCAAATGATTTCTGTACATTGATTTTGTATCCTGTGACTGCTGAATTCATGTATCAGTTCTAGCAGACTTTTGGTGGAGTCTGTCCGGTTTTCCATGTATAATATCATGTCATCTGCAAAAAGTGAAAGCTTGACTTCATCATTGCGAATTTTGATGCCTTTGATTTCCTTTTGTTGTCTGATTGCTGATGCTATCACTTCCAACACTATGTTAAACAACAGCGGTGAGAGTGGGCATCCCTGTCGTGTTCCTGATCTCAGGGGGAAAGCTGTCAGTTTTTCCCCATTGAGGATGATATTAGCCGTGGGCTTTTCATAAATGGCTTTTATGATGTTTAAGTATGTTCCTTCTATCCCAACTTTATCAAGGGTTTTTATTAAGAAAGGATGCTAAATTTTGTCAAATACTTTTTCTGCATTGATTGACGGGATCATATGGTTCTTATCTTTTCTCTTATTAATGTGATCTATCATGTTGATTGATTTGCAAACGTTGAACCAGCCCTGCATCCAGGAATGAATCACACTTGATCATGGTGAATAATTCTTTTTGTAAGCTGTTGAATTCAATTTGCTAGTATCTTATTGAGAATTTTTGCATCCATATTCATCAGGGATATTGGCCTGTTGTTCTCTTTTTTTACTGGGTCTCTGTCTGGTTTAGGAATCAGAGTAATGCTGGCTTCATAGAATGAGTCTGGAAGTTTTCCTTCCCTTTCTATTTTTTGGAATAGCTTGAGAAGGATAGGTGTCATCTCTGCTTTCAATGTCTGGTAGAATTCCCCAGGGAAGCCATCTGGTCCTGGACTATTATTTGTTGGGAGATTTTTGATAACTGATGCAATTTCTTCACTGGTTATGGGTCTGTTCAAGCTTTCTGTTTCCTCCTGATTGAGTTTTGGAAGTGTGTGGGTTTTTAGGAATTTGTCCATTTCTTCCAGGTTGTCCAGTGTGTTGGCATATATTTTTTCATATATTCCCTGATAACTGCTTGTATTTCTGAGGGATTGTTTGTAATAATTCCATTTTCATTCATGATTTTATCTATTTTGGTCCTCTCCCTTTTCTTTGTAAGAAGCCTGGCTACAGGTTTATCAATTTTGTTTATTTTTTCAAAAAACAACTCTTGGTTTCATTGATCTGCTCTACAGTTTTTTTTAGATTCTATATTGTTTATTTCTGCTGTGATATTTATTATTTCTCTTCTTCTGCTGGGTTTAGGGTGTCTTTGCTGCTCTGCTTCTATTTCCTTTAGGTGTGCTGTTAACATTTTGTATTTGGGATTTTTCTTGTTTCTTGAGATAGGCTGGATTGCAATGTATTTTCCTCTCAGTACTGCCTTTGCTGCATCCCAAAGCATCTGGATTGTTGTATTTTCATTTTCGTTTGTTTCCATATGTTTTAATTTCTTCTCTAATTGCCTGGTTGATTCATTCGTTCATTCATTAGTAGGGTGTTCTTTAACCTCCATGCTTTTGGATGTTTTCCAGGCTTTTTCCTGTGGTTCATTTCAAGCTTTA